TTTTTATTTGATGTTTATAAAATTTATTATCTTATAAATATAGGTGGTACCACCTTGGTCCCTTATTTATAATATTATTTTTCTTTTAAAAAAATTTTATCAACTCAACTCGACTCAATTGATGAATTCATTGAACCTAAAAAGTGTTTTTTATATTTTTATCATTTAATATATATATATATATATATATATAATTAATTATAAGAGTCTATATTATTCAAACAATATGTAATATGCTTTATTGTATTAATTTTAGAACCATTTAATATTACATAATAATTTACAAGATAATTTCACACCAACTCAAAACTCATATATATCTTGGGAGTCTTGGATTCCATTTTTTCTACTTTAATATTAAATAATATAATTATCCTTATTTTCTAAATAATTATAAATTAAAAAAATCAAAAGTAGCATAATTCTCCTTTTTTTTTATTTTTTTTATTTTTTGTATTGATACGAATAGTCTTTTTCTTCATCATTTCCCATGTAAAAATTAATAGTGAAGTAATGATTCAAATTTTTGCAAACTTTATTTACTAAATTAATTTAACTTTTGAGTAATTGAATGTCTAAAAATGATTATTATGTTGTTTAACTAAATGTGTTGTATCATTTAATAGAATTAAATATATGTGTACAAATATATATATATATATATAGCATATAAAAATTATATTTAAGGGTAATTCTAAAGGGTGGACAAGGCTTCATTGCCGTCCGTTTGTAAGTAATTAATTTCACATTAAGAAGGGTAAAGCTATTTCTCTTCAAGAAAAATAATAATAATAATAATAATGCTTTTAGGCCTATATGAGAGGAGTACTATCAAGCTTCGAAAAGTATAAAATAAATTTTTTTACAAAAATATTATTAACATTATTATTATTAGTATCGTTTTTATTATTATTATTGTTGCTATGGTTACTGTCTTATTCATTATTATCATTATTATTATCACTACTACTATTATTGTTTCTACAAAAATAAATAAATATTATCTTTATTGTCATTGAGATTATCACTGTCATTATCACTATATAATTGTATTCTCACCTTATTATAATCACGACCATCAATGTTACTATTTCACTACCCTTTTTTTCACTAGTATTACTATCGTCATTGTAATTATTATCAATATTATCCATTTCGCACTACCATCATAATTATTATTGTCACTATCATCACTACTATCATTCTTACTATTGTCACGCTCTATAAGTACTATTAATACTATTTTTATTATCCGTCATATTTGCTTTTATTAATATTGTTACTGTTGTTGTCTGTCACCATCAAACTGTCTATATAAATTCTGTTATCATTATTGCCTCTATTATTTAATATGAGCTAAAAGAAAAAAGAAGAATGACATGATTGGTGCCTAATCATTCTAAGTATATAATAAGGAAGAAGCTAATCTACTTATTCCACTTGATTATATGATAGAATGAGAATTTAGTCTGATCCACGGTTTACTTGACATGCACTGTCCATTATATTCTTACATCAATCTGTAATTAATTTTTTTACACGTATAATCATACTACATTAGTCCATTTAATGCATTCTATAAATTTAATGGTATGTGTTCCATTATTACACAGATAAGAATGCGGATGTAACATGCTGGCTGAACCAGTCTACTGCGAGGAAATTGTTCTGAGCCAAGGCCAATTCAATATGGGCTAATTATCATTACACTTGAATACTTGCATTCATATCTTTATATCAGT